TGACAAATACCTTGTCAGAAGTGGGGTATAAGTCTGAAGATGTGCATATTACTGATGGTAAAGACCTTTTCGGGAGCTAGGTACTTATCTGAGGTGATTGTATTGACCTGAACAAGCTGCAGAAGGTGTTAAGATATTTTTGTATATTTGAAGCTTCTCAAAGGACTTCTTTGCAAAATAAGTCCTTTGAATTGTCTGTTCAAAAACTATGGTGGTCAGGTTCTGTGGTATGGATCTGATGTCCTAAATGTTGTTCTAACATCATATTGGGGTGTGGCTTGGAAGATGCTTGGAGTTGAGCAAATGGAGTTAGATACTCAAGTATGGTTGGTATGTCTAGTAGTATGTTCTGGTAATTCATGATTATTATCCTTTTGAAGTATTCACTAGTATCAGCACTTACTAGTGAATGAAAAGACAAGAGAAGATAATCAGATACTGAGGTCTAATTTGAATGTTTATTTTTGGGAGGTTTTCTTCTTTTGATTATAGTGTTTTGTCTGACTCTCAATATAGATTTTAAGCAAGCTGAGGATGTGTGGAGGTTGTGAACTTGCTTCAGACCAAATGTGCGTGACATCTCAACTATCCAAAGAGTCATGACATCTTATGTGATGACACTGTTCAGATATGTCCTTGTTAGAAAGAAAAAATCTAAAGACATGGGTGAGCTTTCCAGGAGCTATAATATCTGGTTCAGGAGTGAATTCACAATGTTCAGGAGGAGGTTTGAGTATCCATAACAAGGGGAGTAAAGGACTTGTCTATGGATCGTTATTACAATGGTGCAGATTCTTTGGAGCCTGCGAAGAGTGTGATATCAGACAATATGTCGTGACATGTGGCTATATATGGATGATGGGGCCTAGTGTATAGTCAGTTTGGAGATACCACTTATGATGCTTTGGTATGTTGGGTTGTGTCACTCTTGAAGGCTGAAAGGAGTGAAATTGGAGTTCAATGGAAGATAAGTTGGTTGTGAAGCATCTGGTCTCAGTTGAGGGACTGTTGGTCAAAATTGGTTTGGTCATAGTAGACATTATCTGACCATATGTCAGGACTTTTTTTTGGGAAACCAACAAAAAAGGTTATGAATGGTGGTTTCAAGCACATGTCAGAAAAGAGAACTCTGCAGGATCTGACAATGCATGTGCATATGGTGACAATTGTCATCTCCAGAAGAACCGGTCAAAAAAAATTTAAAAGCTAATGTGGATGGTACACATTTGGTGCAATTTTGTTCTCATATAATAATGTTCTTGTATGACCAAGATCTTGAAATAGTCAAGGATTATTATTTACCAGATGGATACTCAGCTATTTATAGAGGTTACTTCTTCCCCTATCCACCTCGTGTGTATTTGGTGTTTTCATCTTTGTTATGGGGCTTGTTTGGGTTTGGTTGAACTGTGCTTGGGTATCATTCTGTGAAGGCTTTCTTTGCCAATGTTTGGCTAAAAAGGGGGAGAAAGGTGCACAAGATGGTGCTCAGTTTGAAGTTAGAGGTTGGTTTTCTAGATGTGTCACAAAGGTGTCAGATAGGATGCTCTATATTCTTTTTGATTTTTGGTGTTGACTTTTGTGACTCGTAATCTGATTTGTGAATACAGTTGTAACCTGTGTTCTGAGTTACCTAGATTGACTGGTGGGTGCTTCATGGTTCTCAAATGTCACCAGTTAAATGAAAGGCATATTCATCTGTGACAAGAATAGGTTCCTGGATTGAATGGGAGTGAAGACTACCTTCTTCCTCGTGTGCATCATGTGCATCAGATGGCTTCAGGACTTTCTTTCCTTTTAGCTTGAGGTTGCTGCTCCTGGATGCTAAAGTTGGTTGTGCAATGAAGTTGATAAAAGAAGATGTCAAACAAGATGTCCCGAAGACTAACTCCATGATGTTGTGTTGTTATGCTTAGTAGCTTCTGAAGACTAAGTTGTTAGTTTTGTGTGTGTATTGTTGTAATACTGGTGAAATTTTCAATGTATTTGTTTTAGCCAAAACTTGCCAAAGGGGGAGATTGTAAGTTCCTCAGTTTTTAAGGTTGGCATTAATTTTGTAAAACAAATATGTAACAATATGTTAGATAGGGTGTGTTAACTTGCTAACAGGAACAAGTTGAGCAAGATGTCCTATCATATGTTAGGACATGTTGAGTTGAAGTGTTTCAATATCTAGAGCAACATGTCGGATAAGATATCCTATGAGGAAGCATACGACATTGCGCCTGAGCTGAACTGGACTGTTATATTCTGTTAAGTCATAGAGATATGATATACTTTGAGGATATTATATTATCCTATGTGGCGTTGATTTGTAGGTCAAGAAGAATCAAGAAGAATATTGAAGAATATTGACTTTCTAAATATGGAGATAATTTAGGAAGATTTGATTGAAGACCTATTTTGTAGCATAATTTTCTACTATTTGTTACAGCCAAAGAGTTGTATTTTGAAGGCCTGGAACCCAACTGGGTATAGATTATAAATAGAAGCTTTGTAACCTATGATTTGTACCATCCGAAATTAGAAAAGATATAATCATTAAGGCTGGGTCTGTTAGCCACTCTCTAGGAGAGTTGGTATGTGTGAACCACTCGGGTTATGAGATGGTCATTGTGTTCTCCTCGAAATTGTGAAGCAAGATTGAGTATTATTCTTGGAGGAAGCTTGTAAGCAACTCCAAGTTGTAGTCTTAGTCAAGAGGCTTGGCTAGTGATTATAATGAAAGTGTGTCTTTCGTTTTCATGTCATGGAAGTGTGTCTTCCTGTTTGTGTCCAATTGTTGTCTGTAATTGATGAGGGATTCAAAAGGGTCTCATATCTAGGTGAGTCTTAGATAGAAATATAGGAATGGTAGTGATTAAGTGAGAAATTGTAAACATATGAGTTTAGCTTCAGGTTGATACTATCATAGTGGATTTTTCCTTGGCTTGGTATACCCCCAGAGTAGGAGAGTTGCTCTGAACTGGAATAACAATTCTAAGTGTTTATACTTTTTAGTACTGTTGTTTATTGTTGATACCTTGCCTGTTTGTTTATGTCGGATCAGATGCCCCAACATGTCATAGGGAATTTGAGTTATGTCATACCAGAATTTCAGTCCGGATACAACGACAATAATAACAAATCAAAAGGCCTGAGGCGCCTCTGGTGCCGCCTCTAGTGTCATCTCTGGTGTCGCCTCTGGTGCAGGATGTGGATGGGCCTCTGATTCAGATTATGGATGGGCCACCGGTGCAGACTGGGGGGCCTCTGGTGTCTGCTAGGTGGGAACATGTGTAGGCTGGGTGGGAGTAATTGTCGGCTGGGAAGATGAAGTCTCACGTGTCTCAAGGACCATAGGGCGTCCGTGGAAGGAAGGAGGGGGAGAGGTATGGATTGAATGAGGTGTAGTCTTTGGGTGGGAATCAGATGTATCTTCTGGTCTGGATACCTACGGTGAAGACGTATGTCTGCGGGAGGACGAAGGCGAAAATGGATGGACAGGAGACTCTCGCCTACTGGTCGACGGAGTGAAAGTAGAAACTCATCTGCAATGGACGCATTCGGCACAACCTGTCTAGGATCCTGAAAAGCCTGAATCATTTCCCTACGCCGAAAGCATGTTATGAAAGTCTCCCGTGTCGCAATCTAGATGGTCTCTCGTCCATAATACTTGTAGAATAAATGAAACAATTATTAAACAATAACACTATTATACATAAAATAGGGGAAATTTTGTCTGATGCATAACCAAAAGTATACTTCCGATTTTAGTCAAGAACAAAACCGGAAATACACTTTTGGTATGACCTGCAACTTAACAGATTCGTCAATGGCGAAACTAGCCCCAATGGGGACAAAAAAAACAACCATTGATCGTCAAAAAGACATGACTAACACTTCTGTATTGACTTCAAACATTGAAAGAACTAAACAAACTACATTTTACTACCCTAAAACACAATTTGTAAGTAAAATTTAATATAAATAAAAAAACAATAATACTCAAAAACAACATACAATGATTAATTCTCCTTAGTTGATTATGATTATGCCTGGTGATTTCCTTATGTGTTGCGATAAAGGATGGATTTTGAAACAATGAGTATTTTGGAACAATGGGATTTTGGGAGGTTTTGTGTTTTGTTTGTGTTTGCCGCAAATCAGGAAAGGGAAGAGGTTAGCACGAGTATATGTCAAAATACAAACCGAAAATACACTTACGATTTGAAACTGGTGCTACATTTTTAGTCTGTATCAACATGGTAAGGTGTGGCTTCTCATAGTGTAACTATTTAGTTCATTTAAAGTATAACTGGAAATACAACATCGATTTGGAAATCGTAAGTGCACTTCTGATTTGTATGTTTTTTTTTAATATAATAGGATACGCACCGGAAATACATTTCTGATTCCTGACAGCATATTTGAAAATTCACATCAGTGTCTAAGAAACACTTAGAGTGCATTAAGAAATTTTTTTTAAATAAAACTTTTTGTACGCACAAAATCAATTTCTATCAAAACTAAACAATCCAATCCGAATAAAAAAATCATGAAATAAAAACCAAACCAATAATTTATTAAACAATATGTTAAGATAGATTTCTATGCAATGCAAACAATCTGATTGTAACCAACAGATTTGAATCAAAAGATCTCCTGATTTTTTTCGACTACAATATGAACCACAACATCTCATGCTAAATTTCCACCAGATGTTCATGATCACAAAGGATATTATGTTGTAAAGCTAACTTGATACAGTCATATTTCATTTTTTGTTAGGAGAAAGGGGATGGTACGAGACTCAGTACAAGTTTTGTTACCGAATGTGAAATATATAGGTAGATACATAGACTTCAAGATCATAAATCATTGGCGAGATAAACACAAAAATACTTACAAATTTGAGGTATGCAAGCTGATGACCTGTCAAATACATTGATAGTATAATTTCTTATTAATTAAGATTGGATATAGATGTTGTAGCAGCACATTCCAAAACGATGAAGTCATCAGAAAAACAAGGTACCCCAGGCTGCTATAAATGCAAAGCCGCCAAATGGAGCCAAGGTTGAGTATTTTCTGTCTTCAAGAAATGCAACCGTATAACACCTAAAAGTTCAACATTTGTCTCAATATCGTAGAAGATGAATGCAGATTAATCACATTCTATTTTTCACAAATATTTATTCACAACAATCAGATAGCACGGGTCCAAAGTATTATTATAGGCTTGTCTTATTTATTGGACAACGGGTATTAGGAAGAACTTTACAGCCATGACGCTCCACACAGCAGGGAGCAAAACAAAACACGAGCCAACATCAAAAGGAAAGGCCACACAAACCACTACTGCACCAAGAGAAACTCTTCAAAAGGAAAGGCCACACAAACCACTACTGCACCAAGAGAAACTCTTTGTAGCCTACGGTCAACATACCCACCTAGGCACTAAAAAAGAACAGACAGCCTAAGAACCACTAAGGGGTAGTACGGAATAAATCTCCTGGCAGGAAGCAAAAGCGAGAAAGCAAAAGGGGGCCAACTCCCATATAGTGAAATAAGGAGCATCAGAAAATCTCCTACAATGATACCAAACATCAGAGTTCTTGAGGACGGGTGGTCAAATCCCCAGTTGTTTGGTTGTTTCTCATTAAAAACTAAAGAATCTAAAACTGCATTGACATTATCTTTCTACCAATGTGGAGACCCGAACTTCAGTGGGTACTACAGATTTGTAAGTTATGAAGCACCGGTGCAGACACGGACACAATAGTGACACGTGAACAGTGGTAATAATTTGAGAAAATGGACATGTCTCACTCTCACATCATTTTTAACCATATCATATGAGTATCGCTCTAAAAATAACTACTATCCAGCAGTTCTCTAAACAAAATGGATAACTGTACATTGATTGATACCCTGACTCTGAAGTTATTGGTTTCATTCTAAAAATAAATAAATCGGACAATGAAAACCTTGATTCAGGAAGGGGTTAAGAGAAATTATATCTAATTCCATCATCAGCAGTTCAGCACAAATAACTCCCAAGAATAGATACATGATGTCACCCTCTTTCACATTCCAATATCTTAATTATTAAATTGAACTTTATGTCCCAAAAACCCATGTGTCTACTTTTGATTTCTCACACCCTTCACCCCAAAGAATTATAAATAGATAAGTAAAGAACTTGAAAAACAACTGCTCGGATTTCAAATAAGCATAAATAGCTAGAAGTAAAATTCAAGAGAACTTACGTCCCAGAGAAAGCCAAGATTCCAGCTGTTAGAAGCCCTCCAAACTGCATAAAGAAAATGATGAGAGAAAAAACAAATTGATGATTATCATTTACAATCACCAAATACATGGCGCTTGTATGGTTCTAAAGTGATAGATTATGAAAAAAATTGATTTTGTAAAATTGATTTTGAATAAAATTAAGGATGTGTTTAGAACTACTCTTGCAAACCATTTTTCGCATCCTGAAACACTTTCACCATGAAAATATAGAAGCCATGGTTTTAAATTGCACTCCGCAACTGCAATTGCGGCCGCAATATTGCGCATGCGGTAGCCTCCATAGCCGCATCGGACCGCAATTGCCATGTAAGTTAAGATCACACGTTCAGCCGCATTAGAAACCACATCACACAATTTCAGTCATGTTTTTTCAAGTATTTTCATCAAATCTCAAAATTTCCAAACTCTAAAACTCAACAGCATCTTAATATTAAGTATTTTTTAACATTATATTTCAAACGCTTCTTAATAACAATCCACGCCACAGTGCCGCAATATGCACTGCAACAACTGCAATGCTGCAATCGCAACAGCCGCAACTGCAATTTAAAACAATATAGAAGCAATAGAACTAAGCTTCTTCATTATTGTGTTTTATGGAACCTAACATAAAATTATTTGAATGTGAAGTGATTTATGATAGGGTTTTACGTAAAATTGAGTATAACTATAAATTGGAGAGACGAACTCAAAATTTTAGCTTTATGTTAAAATCAATTCTTCTTGAAAAGATTTAAATATGTCAAAATAAATTCTACATCTCTATAACCAATTATGCCTCCCTCAAAAGTGAAATCAAACAAATACCTTGTAATTATAGGCTAATAGCATTTAAAAGGGTATAAAAGGGATAAGAAGTAAGAAAACTGCAAAAAGGGAACTTACAAGATTGGGATTTTTGGTGATTGGAGCTGAAACTAGTGCGGCAGTATGAACCAAATGGTAAAGCGCTGCTGTATGCCAAACCTTCATAAAATACATTCAAAATTTGCAATTAAAGAAATAAATAAAAAACGGAAGCTTTAATCATGAAATAGGAATTGGGGGAAATGGAAAACGCAGGACGAACTTACATCTTTGTAAGATGGGTTTTGGGGCTTGAAAGCGTGTGCGCCATAAGTGCCCAATCCAAGTGCTGCTACACCTGTTTCAGTTACTTTCTCATTGAATTACTGTTACAGAAGAAGAAGAAGAGATTGATATAGATCAGTTGAGAAGAGGGATTTACCTGAAATTGCAGCGACTTTGTGCCAAATTAGAGGGTTCATTTTATTTTATTTTAACTCTTTCCTTACCTTTTCTCTCTATTCTATGAAGTAACACAACTCTGTTCAGTCGTTTGGTTGGTTCTTGACTCTGCGAACCGGAAGTACTAATACTTTTTCAATAGAATAAAAATTATTTTTACTTCATAAAATAATGTTTTTTTATCATAGAATATGTATGGTTTTTTTTTTTTTAAAGAAAATAATTTGCAAGAAAGGATGTTGGCTTATTGGGCAAGGATATCACAACAAAAAAGAACATAGGAATTGAGAAAAATAATTGATAACCATACTGCAAGTATGAAGTATGAAGTATAGAGTTAGGTTATTTGTATCAAATAGTTAAGGAATAACATACGAGAGATAATTTATCGGCATAAAATTTATCATGCGAATGGTTAGGCTATGTGGACAAAAATTAAATTTGTTAATCTTCAACTACCACTCTAAAAACAATTTAGAAGACTCTAAAAAACAATTTAGAAGATCAAAGAAGAAAAAACACAAAGAGGACAAAAACTAAAGATAAAACATAGTTAAAGAAGGAAATTTTTTAAATTAAATGCAGTCTGTGTCAAATGGAATTACAAAACAAGAAAATATTCACCATATAACTGCATTTTAACCTATCACTCAAATTGAACCAACAACACCTCAGTCATTTCTTTTACACTCCCTTTCACATTTTTAATTTTCTATAAGGATATTGTTTGGACTGGGTCCGCACTCAGCCAAAACATCATACAAGGCTAAATTCAACTATGTTATAGGAAAAGTTCAGCAAGAATGAATCTGCCCTTGACCTACGTCGGGCAGGATCTCCTCCTCTCATGTCGAGGATTTATCCTCCACGTGCCCTCCGAGGACATCCTCGCCACTTGACTGTCGAGGAAAGTCAGAGACGTCCAGGTGGTCACCACGACGTGCCTTCCTTGTAGGGAACGCATCTAATGTCTCTGAATGTCATATAGTCCTCTTGACCCCGAAAAGACCGCGTTCACACCTCCCTGATAGTTCAGAACAGTTCATCCAAGATAAAGACCATGTGCTGGTCTCAACTACACACGTAGGTCCTGGTAGTCTCCATTTTAGGTCTGCTCAATCATCCTAACATGGGGAGACCTTGGCCCAACGCTGGGAGCTATAAATACCCTCTTACTCAAGAGGGTCAGATATTCATTTCACTTACTCACTTTCGTACTTACACTCTGATTGTATCCATTCTTACTTTGGCATCACAGTACCTTGTAGGTACACCCCCTCCTCCACTTCAATTTCAACCACTGTTCAACTCAAGTTCGTGGGCTATTGACGATCCCTCCTGATCAGGTACGATTATTGGTGCAGTCTGTGAGAATATTGCTTCCCCGTTTTTTCTTAGCTTAAGACCAAAGCAACCTTCAGTCTCTCGATCGTCATGGTCGACCAAGTCAACAACGATGATCAAAATGCTCATTTCACTAACGCTGGAAACAACAACAATGTCGGCGCTCCCGAGCACGACATCAGGGACGGGATGACTGCATCCTCCTCCACCCGTTGGCATCCGCTCGATAATCCTCCTCGATAAGACTATGAGCACGCGGGGTATCAGGAGATCCTCGTGCTTAAGAATGTTGATCCTACGACCCAAGCCTTGTTCGCGACAATCAACGAAACCAACTATGCGATCTTCACGCAAGATGAACGCCTCGAAATGCTGGAAAGGACTCGTCGGTCCTCCAAAAAACACAGAGCGTACATCCTCGAAGCGATAATCCAGAGGAGCGACGAAACTCTCAGAGTGTACATCAATCGATTCAACCGCGAGGCCATCTAGGTCCCCTGCTCCGATCACATAAAGAGGTACCTGCTCGAGAGGGGACTCCTCTCGGGAAGTGATTTCAGAAAGGCGGTCGACATCGAGCCTCCAAGGTCTTTGGATGAGCTCCTCAATAAATCCCGGGCCTATATAACGTATCAGGAAAAGCAGGCCGCCAACAACGCCCACGAGTCCAAGAACCGCAGAACAACCAGTGCCCCACGGTACAATGATGTGGGCCCTTCTCGACGAACCGGAGAAAATAGAATGGACAACAAACCTCGCGACCCCCGCGAGCATAGAGGCCTAACTAAAAGATTCACCGAGTACACCCCACTGACCGCTCTCCGGGTGATTCACATAGGCCACATGACCGAATATTGCGTCTATATGAAGGATACCATCGAGACCCTCATTAAAGCGGGGAGACTCTGGAAGTACAAGAGGAACGATGCCCCTTGTCGCGATAATTGCAAGGTGGAAGAAATTGAGTAGGATTCCCGATCGTCTAAAGAATATGTCCCTTTTTAGGTTGCTCTGTGCGTCTCCTGGCCCGAGGACTTCTGCATCCCCGACGACCTCAAAGACAATGAGCCGTTTTTCACCCACAGCATATGGGAAAAGTTCCCCTCTACCATGGTCATATTTGGTGAGGGATTCAGCGATGTCTCGGTGAATTCAACAAAGATGAAAGTTCAACGAGCTAATAGACGCAGCCCCGGTCCAGGTTGTTACCTTTGAAAGGTTCAAGGGAAAATCTGAGCCAATCACTTTCTTTCTCGAGGAACTGTCTGGTGGAGCTCCTAACTCCAGCATCCTTTTGCTCGTGAGAGCAAGGATGGCCAACTTCGACGTACATCGCATCCTGGTCAACGAAGGGAGTTCTATCGATGTCATGTACAACCATCTGTTCTGCACCTTACAACTCGATAGTTCTCACTTGTCACCATGCGTGGGGTCTGACCTGCATAACTTCAACGGTTCGACCTCCATGCCATGGGGTTATATCGAGTTATTTGTCACGTTCGGGGAAGAAATTGCAGCCCGACAGGTTAGAGTCTATTTCCCGATGGTGGACTGTGAGGGCAACATTCATGTTTTCATGATGTCAAAACCCATCCTATCCTCAATGACATGTGTGCTACATAAAATATACTTGGGACAAAGTATGAGATGCAAGCTTGGATGAAAATAACCTTTTTGGCAAGAAAAATGAAGCATGCGTCGATGTAAACTAGCTCCGGTTGACTCAAAGCTTTGTGCTTCTCTCGGGTTGTGTTGTATCGACCCCTTGGTCGACTCAACCTGATTGTCAAGAAAATTGAAGGCTGCATCGACACAACTCCCTGGTGCGGTCGACGCATTCAAGCTATTTGGCTCATCTCCTAGGCACGAGTTGTGTTGCACTGACCCAAGCTTCTGGAGCGGTCGACCGCTCACTTAACATACTCAAAATTATGTTTGTCTTATTTTCTTTCTTTCTCAAATATTTTTTTTTACTAACACGTATAAATAGAGTTTTGATTCCCTTTGAGCAGTCAACAAGAACTAATGAAAGATACACATAGTGTTCATCATCTTCATCCCCTCTTCTCAAAAATTAACATCTACACTTAATCATGGTTGTTGATTCAAGAAAACACTACGCCAAAAAGGCCTTTAGACAGCGCACCTTAGACAATACTTTTATACAAAAGCGTTGCTATAAGTAAATTAAAAAATAAAACACAAAAACTGTATACGAAAATGAGTAAAAGTGCTGCTAAAAGGCCGGCCTTAGACAACGCTTCTGAAAAGCGCTGCTAAAAGGGTTGCTTTAGAAAGCACTTAAAAAAAGCGTAGGTAAAGGACCACATTAGCCAGCGCTTCTCCGAAGCGCTGTCTAAAGTCATATAAATTTATATAAAAAATCTTAAAAGCGCTGCTAAAAGGGTTGCTTTAGAAAGCGCTTAAAAAAAGCGCGGGTAAAGGAGCACATTAGCCAGCGCTTCTCCTAAGCGCTGTCTAAAGTCATATAAATTTTAAATAAAAAATCTTAAAACCGTTGCTAAAAGGGTTGCTTTAGAAAGCGCTTAAAAAAAGCGCTGGTAAAGGACCACATTAGCCAGCGCTTCTCCGAAGCGCTGTCTAAAGTCATATAAATTTAAAAAAGTAATCTTAAAAGCGCTGCTAAAAGGGTTGCTTTAAACAGCGTTGGTAAATGACCATATTAGCCAGCGCTTCTCCTAAGCGTTGTCTAAAGTCATATAATTTTTTTAAAAAAAAATTCTTAAAAGCGCTGCTAAAGGCCCATATTAGCCAGCGCTTCTCAAAAGTGCTGTCTAAAGTCATATAATTAGAATTAAAAAATAGAATCCCTCTAGAACTCGTTTCTATTCATAAAACTCGTTTCTATTCACAATTTTATCTTCGTCCTTCCGTCTCCGATACTGCCCTCCTTCCACCGTCCCTCCGACCACCTTCCTTTTGTCGTTCCTCCGACCGTCCTCCTTTCGCCGTCCCTCAGTTGTCGTCCTCCACTGTATCTCAAGGTAAGTTTCCCTTGTTCCTATATCTATTACTGTTATGGTTCTTTGGGTATTTGGTTTATAACATTTGGTTTTTTGGACTCTCTTGTAGGACTTCTATCAACCATTTCACCAACATTTTGTTTTTTTAAGCTTGGTTCAACATTTCCTTCTACATTTCTAGGTATTCATTTCCTTCTACATTTCTAGATATTTCCTTCTACATTTATGCAGAACCTGTGACCTGTTTATAAGTTCGATTAGTTAGTGATATAAACTCTGTTAGGCTGTCTGGTTTTATTTAGTTTCAGTGAAGGTTGGATGTTGATGTCGCGTTTATTCGTGTATAAACTAACTGAGAAACTGTTGGGGCTACCCGTTTTGTTTTGTTTGTTAGAGTTTCAGGTTTGAATTCAATGTTGTGTCACTTTATGTGAGAAAATTTGAAAGAGATTTCGATGCATGTTGTTATGAATTCAAGGGTTAATTTGGTTATGATGCCACTTTGTTGTGATAGTTTAATTTCATTTTGGTTTCGATGATGGCTTGATGTCTATGCCGCGTTATTCGCATAAGATATAGTCGAGAACCATTCACGGGGCAGCAATTCATCTTTTACCGTTGCTTTGAGATTTAGACAACTTTATTGTGTAATTTGATTTAAATTTGAAAGTTCGCATGGTTGTGACATCAGG